AGGCGATGGCAGCGGCGGCGCCTCGTCGGTGGAGACGGTCGCGCTCAGCACGGAGAGGCCGAGGCCGGACAGCACGGCCGACATCTCGGCGAGGAGGCCGGTGCGATCGGAGACGACCACCCGCACCAGCGTCGCAAGCTGATCCGAGCAGTTGTCGACCGTCACCGAGATTGCATTCTCCAAGCTTCCGCCGCCCTCCACCGTCTCGAGCAGCTGGTCCGTCTCGGCAGTCTCGTCGGCCAGCGTGCCACCCGCCGCGACGACGCTACGCGTCGGCAGCGCCGTCTTCGGAGGTCGGTACGCGGCTGGAGTGCCAGAGGCGACGGCGGAGGTAGCGTTCTCTGCAGGGCTCGCCACTGGCAGCAGCGGCGTGTCGAGCTCGGAACGCCCTGCTCTGCGGCGAGACGCTCGTAGCAGGATCGGCTTGAGGAGTAGCGTCAGAAGCGAGCCGAGGATCAGACCCGAGAAGAAGGAGAAGGTCTCGTGCATTCTGGTGTGTGCCGGGCACTCTGCCGCCGCCTGTCGTGTTCTTTCTTTTCGGCTTCCACAAAATCAATATGTTGGAGGGATTTGAAAATCTTGGAGGGTGCCAAGAGGACGTTTTGATTGGCCTATCAAAAAACCTTTAAAAAGAAAAAGAAAGAAAGCAGACACGCCAAACGCCCGCCACAACGACCCCTGGAATTGCGACTCGCCGCTTTCCTCCCGCTGTGATTCTGTGTGAGCTCTGTGTCTTGATTTGCCAACAATATACCTATAACCAAACGAGGGATGGGACGAGGACAGGGTCCCCCAGCCCTTCGAGTTCGCGCGGATTTCGCGAACTCCGAACTCGAACGAACGCAGCAGGCGGGGCCCAGCCCGAACCTCAAAACTGAACGGACCGCGCCGGCTGTGGAAGGCGCGAACTGCGGAAACGAACGAACGTTCGTGAACTCCGTTCGAACTTAGGAAAAAAAGAAAATCGGCGTTAAAAGTTCGTTCGTTCGGCGTGCAGTTCAGCCACGAGCCGCGCTGAACGAACGAACTCGCGCAACTGCGCCACGTGCGCGCGTGCGGACGCGGTCTGGCCCTCAATCTCAGGTGCCCATATACACAGGCGGCACTAGCACAGTTCTGACGGTCCGCGACAGTTGCAATCTAGCGGACTACGGGCGCGACTACCCCAGAGCGGTTCCCGCAGCTGGACCGCTCCGAGGACTAGGGTCCCGATGGTGCCGGCTGCGCTGTGAGCAGGGCCGCCCTGTGGTGCCTGGGCGCCGTGCGTGCTGACTGGCGAATAGAATGGGGGAGACGGGGGCTCCCCGAGGCGTCCAGGCATACTAGGCCTCTAGTAGGCAACCAGAGACTATACAGGCCTGCAGAGCAAAAAAATACATATTGCGGTTCGTTCGCGGTTCGTTCGCAGTTCAGACGAACTTCCCTGGTTTCCTCGGCCTGCGGGTGTGAAGCGGGTCGGGGGGGGGGGAGAAAAGAAAAGGCTCGAGTTCACGAACTAGTTCGAGGGTTCGGGCACCCAAGGGCGAACGACCGAACCGATGCAGCGAACCAAGGGGATGCCGTCCAGAGCGAACTCCGAAACCGAACGAACCGCGAGTTCACCGAACCAGTTCACGAACCAGTTCGCCAGTTCGCCGGCGAACTCGAAGGGCTGGGGTCCCCACCTGCACGAGCAGGATTTTGGAAGAACGATCAGGGGGACAGGTGGGGCTCTCCTGCTCCTGACAAGGGACACGACAGGCTCGCAGCGCGGTGCGCGGTGGACTCCCACATCCACTGGCGGTCTCATCTCAGTCTAGCGACCTGCCTCCAGCTTGTCGCTGGCAGTCTCTCCTACCACAGGCACACTGACACAGGGGTGGCAGGGGCGGCGGCACGAGTCTCCCACATACTATGCGGGCCTCACTAGAGGTAGGTGCGGCCTGTGCGTGTCCTCGCCCTTGAGGGGGGAGGGGAAGGGGCTGTGTGTCTGTGCATGTGTGTGTGTGTGTGTGTGTGTGTGTGTGTGTGTGTGTGTGTGTGTGTGTGTGTGTGTGTGTGTGTGTGTGTGTGTGTGTGTGTCAAAAAACCTTTACGGATCATGTAGTCCGCGGGCGGTTTCTCTTCTCTTGCTGCGATCCGCATAGAGCTCGCGCATCGCAGGCTTGCGTGCCCATCGCTGGCCCTCCACCTCCTTCTCCCAATTGCAGGGCAAACCGCCAAGAAGCGTCATTATCTTCACTGGCCTCCCGTCTCTAGGCAGGATGCTCGTCGTCAGCCTCATCTCCACCGCGTACAACGTCGGTGCTGGCCTTCGGGCTGCGCCGCACGCTTCGTCTTCTCGCGCCGCCTCCACTGCTGTCTCGATGGGAATGGACATCTCGGAGCTCATCGACGACGCGAAGAAGTCGCGACTCGAGCACCTTGAGGCGCAGGCCATCCAGTCCCTCAAGGTTGCGGTCGATCAGTTCGAAAAGCCCGTCTTCCCGAACGCGATGATCGTGGGCGACTGCGTCATCACGCACCTGCTGCACAAGATTGACGCGCTCAAGACGGGCAAGGTCAAGATCATGGTGGTCGACA